GCTAAAAAAAATACATAATCCTTTTTCAGAAAGGGGTCTTGGTTAATGTGTTTTTATTGGATTGTAGTGCTTGGTGGAAAATTGAGGCTTCTGTTGTTGAAGACTGAGTTGACAGTGGTTGATAGATTTTCTGAGTTTGATGTAGGCAGGTACCAAAAAGAAGCAAGAAAATAAAAGTGAAACTTTCTGTTGAACTCACCAGGACATACCATGAAGAGATGACCATGTATGGATAGACGTTTTGGTCTCGTGCATAGGCTGTGACAGTAATAGTTTGGGACCAAGCTGGCATGTCATCTGTCTGTTCTGGTCAAGCACTATGCCTTCACTAGTCCTGGTCTCAAACTTACCTGGAGTGGATGAACTATATTGTCCCCTCATGATCCCACAATATAATGTAGTTGGTCATATGATTAGGTAAAAGATGAGAAAAAGCAACAAGAGAGGGGCAACAAAGGTGTAGAGGAATGCACAATTGAAAAGATACAGAATACAGAGTGATCAAGCTGGAACAGTGTCTCATCTGATGTTGACAACTGCATGTCCTCATGAGTGTGCTGGTTTTGTCTTGCTGGTCTTGGAAGGACATTTGAAATTATACTCTCAGGATAACATAGGTGCTGTCAGCCTCTCATGGGCAAAACCCTTAGATTTCTGTCTATCCTTTCCATCCTCGAGGTCTGCCTTTAGAAAAAAACCCTGACCGCAGAATAGCTTGCCTCTTCGTTATTTAATATCTGATGAGGGCTCATTTCTCTTGTCTACCAATCACTGTATTAGCAAGCCTTTTTATTTGGGCAGATGCTGTCTTTTTGCTGTCTTTTCATACTTCCACTACCAACATTCGTAGATACAGAGTTCTACAATATCTTAACGCCACTTTCCAAATGCTGCACTCACTATTAGAGGGAATCTTCTTTAGCCGGTAATTATACTAGACTCAAGGGGAAGAAAAGCAACGGATTTATCTCATTTGGAAACAACGAAGTTGCATAATGCTAATTTTGAAGCCTCTCAGTCTGGAAAAGGAAATAGTGAGGCAATAATTTATCAAGAATTCAGAATGGCACTAGCATCTTGTGCAAGCAGCTAAACTCCCTCTAATCCATTAATTTCAGTAGAAGTCAAATCAGGTCTTTATGTTGCCAAATAATTTTCAGATCTGTATTTTTCTATAACTTTTGTATGTCATTTTCCCTGCCCTTTCTCTCCAGTTTTTTGTTCCTTATATCCTGTCCATGGGTTAGAGCTCAATTTCCTTAGTGGTTACCAGCTTCTGTGGTTATTTCACTGTCACAGAATTCATGAGTATACACACTTTTCTTCTTAAAGGCATAGTTTTATAATCTTTATTTCATTGCGTTCTAGCAAACTCATCAAGATCTGTTTATTTTAAGAGATTATGAGTTTTTAAAAGGCCTGTGCCCTGTCCAGACCCTATCACTTGGGAATAGAAAGGTAAAAGTTACAGGTGAGAAGTTAAAAGATCACGTTTTTTTCTTTTATAAATCAAATCTGCGTGTGTTTTGAAGAATTGCTCAATTCCTTATACCGTCAACAGTTACATACATTTCATTTGCTTAATTAAGGATCATGTGCACACACATCTGCTATTCCTTTCATTGATCCAGTGTTGCTGTTTGAAGAAAGAGCAACCACAAGGTGAAGTTGAAGTGAAGTGCTTCTTTGGCTTCACCAAGACTGGAAAGTAAGTAAGGAGAGCATATTTATGTCAAAACAAAACAAGTATTTTTTGATCAGGCTGCTTGCTGAGACTGGAATATTCACAGTAAATTCAGGAGTAACACAGCTGGAACCTTTATATAGTTCTCATTACACTGTACTTCTGTACAGATATGTGCACTTAACATTGTAAATAATGAAGAATGGCACTTGTTTACACTAAAGTGTAATTAAGATCTAGTTGTGGAAGAATTCTGTACAAGTGTATCTTGATATCTGTGTGAGCCTCTGTTGAAGGCAGTGGCAGGCTGGGAAACCACTGTGTATACAAATCTCCTTGATGAATCTACAGCATGGAAACTAAAACCTGGGTGTTGTTCTAGATTTGAACAAACACATTTGAATAATGCAACCGTGTTATATAAAAGCAAATGTTACTGTGCACCTTATGTGCTGCTTCCAGTTCAGATCAGAAGCTGAAAAGCCAAAATACTGTGCACTGAGTTTCCCAATAGAGTGCAAAGAGAAATTTCAGAAAATAACTGTACTTCTTGCATGAGAACTTCTATCCCACAGGCACTTTGCACTTCAGCAGGGAAGGGTAGGGTGAACTTAATCTCATTTCAGAATCTTTTCAAGTTCCCATTTCGTGATTTACAACCTGATGTATGTGATAATGGAATAGGTAACTGCTGTAGCTTCTGGTAAGGGAAACAGAAACTGCAGGGATTACTCTATGAGCAGGCCCACAAATAAAAGATTCCCACTTTTTCCCCGTTCCCCATCTGTCTACCTGGCCAGTCAGGTCCTGCATTAGAATACACAATATGGCTTCTAGTATAATGTAGCTTTTGAAGGCAGAAACTGGTGTTGTACATTAAAGAGAAGCAAAAAGATTCCACAGAGTTTCTTACTCTCTTCTCATTCTTAGAGGGTTACCTTTACTACTTACTACTCACTGTAAGTAAATGAGAGAGGCTGATAATGGAAACCCTTCCACATGCTCAGGAGCTTTTTACTCTTGAAGACCTTGTAAATCTGCATGACTAGGGCAAGGTTTGTCCACAATACCGGGAAGAAATTTATTAAAAGAGATCCATTGACTGTCCGAACATGGCAGTAGTGAATGATTCAGTGCATTTGAAAGCATGTATGAATGTAACTGATCTTGATATTCCAAAGATGTAGAAAACTTCTCAGAAACCATATATCATAACAAGAAAATTTTCCTCAAAGCCACATTTCCAGCTTCCAAAAGGTCTACATGCTGAATGTCCCTTGTCCAGAACATGCACATTACTGTAGTTTAACACAGTACGTTTTCTTACATTTCAAATGGAAAAGGTAGCAGAAGAATCAATTTATTGCTATCACTTTCAAAAGCAATGAGCTGCTGAGTTGACCAAGCAGCTGATCAGATTGCCATTTATAAGTTGTGAAGATTTCAGACCCTCAGGTAAAGTTACAATATCTCTACTGGTTTAGTTTTTGTCACAGAAGTTAAAAAAACCCCATGCATTAGTAGAAAGTTCAAAGAGATCAAAGACAAAAGGATTTGTTATTCTCTCTAGCATTGCAATTAGCTTAACTTTCTGTTGAAGTGGGTAAAATCCATGCTTTGTGAGGTATTGTGGGAGAAATTGTGAATGATTAGTTATCTATATACATATTTCTGCAGTTTAATTGTGTGTGTGTGAGTGCATATATGTCAACCAGCAGTAGATGGCTTAGACCTGATAATCTCCACAGTAAATGTGTACTTCCTCCCTTCCCTATCTGTGTGAAAGAGATAACAATATGGTGCTCTGGGGATAAGTTTCGTATTTGTCTATTTTGTTTTGGCTGCATTTATTGTTTGTAACTTTGTAGTATAATGCAAACAGCTTGGAAAGACTGAATTTCTTGCTGTCATTGAAAGACTGGGAAAGTTAACTTAAAGTAGCAGAAGACACATGTAAAACTATTCCAACATAAGAGGCAATTCATGTAATTGATAAAATCAAACAGAAGACAAAAGGAACAAAACCTCAATTTAGAAGCTCTTGTTAATGAAGTAAAAAAAAAAATTACTGAACACCCACTGAACTGTACTGAGTGAAGATGCAGTTAATTCTTCAACCTCTTTCTAAAATCTTTTTTCAGAACCCTATTTATTGTCCTTTGTAGTGATAGTCCTTTGTTTCCAAACAGATGACTCAGAGCCCTTCCTAGTTATAACATGCCTGCTTTATACCATTACATTTTAACATCCCTACAAAACAACAGTTCCCACTTAAGCAAGTTATCAATCAGATATACCAGCATATCTGCTGTAGCTGCAATCCTCCTGACAGTGTTGGCTAGGAAAGGACTTCGTGCTGTAGAGGGCTCCTGGAACTCAAAGGTGACCCCAGTCCAGCACAGTTGGACCAGCTCGCTCTGTTTGCCCCCATACTTCCCGCTGCTGTGCTGTGATTGTACTGAATTGAAATGTATCGAGCTTTTGCTCTGGGTTCATGTTAAAGACTGGTCCTGAAAGGTATTGAATAGGGCTATTCATTTAGAACATTTTACAATTAAGCTGGCTTTTATTCACTTGGAATTGTCCAATTTTTTTTCCCCAAGAAGTATCTTTGACAGTATCCAGGTGTATTGATTGCCATTGCTTCCTGTTTTACTCCACACATTTTCATTTTCCACCCACACATGAACAGTTTTTTTCTGATACAAAATGGAGAAGAGAAACAAGGACAAAATGAGGGGTGGGGGGGAGCAGTAGGGAAGCAAACTGCTGAGAAGGGAAAGCAAAACTGACACGTACACCCCAAAGCAGAAGAATTTCTGTTTTCACAAAGGAACTTGCAGTTCTCCAAAAAGCTGGAAGGAATAATGTTAGTCCAGTACATAATCCAGGTTCTGCTACAGTGTCTGCTTCTCACCACAGGACACTCAAGTTTTTAGGGATACACTAAATTTAAAGTAGTAGGTATTTTCTTATATTTATTAAGTGTTTGGTTCCCAATTCCAGAAATAAACTGAAATTACAGTGTGCCCAAAAGGAGGTTCATGACCACTCTCTAAAGGTAGTATCTGCACTGAAAATTTTAAAAGATTGTGCAGCCACAACAAGGATATAACAAAATGCTCAGCTTCTCTAACCCTACAGGAAGATGTGCTACAATATCTCCACAGCCAATCAGCAGTATTACAAGCCTCAGACCAGGAAACTCTTTTAAGTACAGTATGTGTGAACATTACAACAGGGACTTTCTCATTGTTGCTCTTTCTTTTTCACTTTTTTATGCTTATAGGCTGGCACGCCAAATGTGAAGTCACTCATGGAGAAATTTAACAGGGGTAACAGCTCCACAGAGGATGTTTCTGGTAAAAGTCAAACCTTCAAAGTCCCCGGACAACCTGGAGTACACGCAAGGAGAGCAGCACTTGAGAAATTTGGAAGTCAAGGAAATGCAACTTCTTCTTCAGGACCCAGTACCTCAGGACCCCGTACCTTTCACAAACCTGTTCATCCTAAGCCTCCTCTAGGGGTCAAGCCTTCAACTGATGATAAAACTGAGAAGGATTCAAAGCCCCAATATTTGAAACCAGTGGCACAAAAGTTTGGGGTTCAGCTTCAGACAACTAACAGAGGAAATGATGGAAAAGCTGAATGCACTAAACCCTCTACCAAAAACACTGATTTGGCAAAGGACGAGCCAAAGCCTCTGTATCCAAAACCTGCAGGGAACAAGTTCCTTAGCTCTGCTCCTCATGAGATAGAAAAAAATCCTCTGGGAACAAAACCAAATTCAAATTTTGCACCACAGGAGAGTGAGGCAAAACCAGCATTTTCAAAAGTAACTGCAGTTAAGGAAAAGTTCATGTCTGCAACACAAGAAACTGAGCCCAAGTTTCCTTTCTCTAAACCATCTCTTGCAAAGAAACATTCTGTAAACCAAGAAGTCTCCCACAGCAAAGACACTTCTAATAAAAATAGTTTTTTGCAAAAAGGACTATCAGACGTTAGAGCAAGTACACTCGCATTTAGCACAGCAAAGGAAATGGATGAAAATAGTAACCGTGCTACAGAAGCTGCAGGCAGTCATTTTTCTAACGTGGTTCTGAAGCCCACTGGCCAATGGTCCAGCTCCTCTCAAGGCATCCCCAAAAAAGTGGAGGAAAAAACTGCCGAAAAGGGAATGAGTGCTGCCAGGAACATCTTTGTCAACAAAATCACCCAGGAAGAATTGGGTTCTTCTTCTAAGTTCCAGAAGTCAAACACAGCACTTGATGCAGGAAGGCCATCAGGTGGATCACAAGAGAAAGACGATGGGGATAGGAGCTCAGGAGTCCCCAAGCGAAAAGCCTTGCCCCTGCTGTTCAAGCTGGGCCAGCCACCACAGAAGCCCAGCCGACCCCCCAGTGTGGACCTGGAAAGGTTCCGGAAGAGCAGCCCAAAAGACAGTGAGTTGTCTCTGTTCTTGCTTTCTTGGGTATTTGGTTTTTTTATGCACTTAACACACTATTCATTTCAGGTCAAATCCCCTCTTCTGTTCAGAAATAACGTGAGACTTGGGCATCAGACAACCCCTTAAAGCTTTAACCTATGCTTGTGTCTCTTCTGTACAGGACAGAAATTAAAATTGTATTTTCCCTCTCTCAGCTTGAAACTACTTAGGTGTGGCTGTAAGTTGTGTCATGGAGTTTAAGTATTTGTCTCAACAGACTTTTAAGTCCTGACTTCCTATAAATGAGATGTTGATGTTGTGTGTCCTGTTCTCGACAGTAACTTCCTGGGCACAGCTTGAGGGCTACCAAAATGACTACTACCACCTATAGTAACCACTTTTTTTTTTCTTTTTTTGCCTTTCATGTGACCCTATAAATTGCTGTATTTTAAAGTTTGTTTAGAAAGTTGAACACTATGCAAAATTACAGAATCAATTGTTCCCACATGGAGCTGCATTGAATTTATAGACAGCTCTGAATCCAGACTCCAAAATAATCTCCTGTACTTAGTGTTCTCTGTTAAGCTTGCATGATACCAGTAGTGTGGCAGTTAGTAGCACCTGAGACTCTGCCTCACTGTTTTTGTGAAGAACGGGGCCTCTGAACTTTCTGATGGTTGTAATCCAAACATGAATATTAAGGCCTGTCACTAGGTTTCTGTAAAATTTGAGATGTTCTTGTATGTGATGAGAGCTTCTGTAAGTACACTTGAAATGTCTGAGAGGACACAAATCCCTGTGAAAAAAATAAATTGCTGTGACTCCACTCCTGAAAAGTATTCTGCTTCAACAGGTTCCTTTCACCACATAAGGCAACTTGCAACAGCAATATAAGCTGCTTCTGAGGCATTCAAAATGTGCCCTTGAAAATCCAATGTAAAAATGTAGTTTCCTAAAGTTAGATGCAGAAATCCACTGTCACCTCCTCGAAGGAGAGATCAGTTTTGTGGAGGTTCTGAATATCCTTAATTCCCCCTTAAATCACCTGTATTTCAAACTTTTGGGTTCAAGTTTTCCTTCAAAGCTTTTAGGCACTCTTTGATAATTCTGAAAAGCTAAAATCAGCCACTCCAGTGGGAATGGGTGATACTAATTGACACATTTCTGTTACAAATTTTATAGTCGTTGAAGGTGGCTTCCTCTATTTTATTATAGCACCAGGTGCTAGGAACTACGATTGCATAAGAAATTCTGATCACATTTTAAAATCAAAGTTTCAAGCTGTCATGCGTCCAGAGAAAAGCTGTTCTTGATCTCAGTGCATGAGAGAAAAAGGACAGAAATAGCATTTATTATTGTGTTAAATTTTTATGCAGTTTTTTTCATTTATTTCCTTTTTCTTCCTTATTAATGCACTGCTGTCTTCACTGAGGTCAGGAAGAAAGAATATATTCAATCCTCACATATATTTTTTTAGCTTGAGTAATTTTGACCAGTTATGCCCTTCAACTAATTGTGTCAGGTGATACACACAACTAAGCAATTTCTGATAATGAGGGACATTTCACCTATGTTATTCTGCCTTAATAGTCTCTCTTAGATTTAATTAAACAGGTCAAACTTAGACTATTGTATTTTCAGTGTAGCCAGTAGGAAAGGGAGATGCTCAATGGTGTGATTCGGAGAATTAAAGTTCATTGCCTAATATAACTGACAATAGATGCTCTGAATAACTCCACACTGTGCATGTGCAGTACATCAGGTACATTCGTGTATTTTAATTAATACAAAATTTGTCTTTTTGCTTTCCATGTTAAGATTACAGTATGGCTTGTGCTTCAGCAGTTTTGAATACCCATAAGACTAGTCTTCCTGAGACAGAAGACATTCAAAGGGGTTATGACCGCATGAAAAGCACAGAGCTGACTTTCTCTAAAGACAAAAAAAGAACACACTAAAAAAACACAGAGTATGCATGCAACTATATACTCTGTTATTACCAAAAGTTAGGAGTGTATCAGTAACACAAAATGTACTTTCTTGTCAGCTGCTACGTTCTGATTTTCCTGTTACCTTACAGTTATAGAAATGTTCTCACAAATCTATGATCAGCGCCACATCCTCAAATGGTGTAAATGTATTTCTTTAAAAGAAATATGCCAATTTACAACACTCTGAGCAGCTGTCCCTTCTCCATAGAGCACTATTCAACATGACTGCCCAGAGGAGTCTCAAAATGAAAAGGCATAATTTTCAGCAAATGACACAAGCTAATGTTTTGATTAAACAAAAACAATAAGAGCTTTGCTAGCTAGAGCTTTGAGAAGTCTTGACGAAGGCTGGAAAGGCCCAAAACTGCAATTAATATTCTAAAAAATACATTTTTTAAGTTTAAGTAATTAAAGGAGGTATTATTTTATTTTTTTGGTTGTTGTTTAATCAATTGTTTCATTTTTTTTTCCTGCTTCCCATGCAGTTATTGACACAAAGCATTTTTTCATCCTTTTTTTAAAATGGAGAGTTAGAAGTATTTATCCTATGCATTTAAAATAAGACTGTCAACAGGGCTGTAAGGATAATATCAGAACCTTTGCCAGGAGGAACCAGTGCTAGTGCAGCCATCAGCCAGGATGAATTGCACTGGGAACACAAGCTAAGGATGGAGCTGCCCATTGTGGTGGCACAGGTTGTTCTCCAAACATACACAAGATAGGATGAGGGGTAACAGTTTTAAACTGAAAGAGGGTAGATTTAGATTATGTAGTAGGAAGAAGATTTTTTACTGTGAGGGTGGTGAGGCACTGGAAGAGGTTGCCCAGGGAAGCTGTGGATGCCCCATCCCTGGAGGTGTTCAAGGGCAGGCTGGATGAGCCTTTGAGCAACCTGGTCTAGTGGGAGGGTGTCCATGGCAGGGGGTTGGAACTACACGATCTTTAATGTCCCTTCCAACCCAAACCATTCTATGATTGTATGAATACACACCTGACTAAGTAGAACTGAAGGGTCAGGACACATCATCTTCTCTACTTCATGGACTTTGGGTCGGGACAAGACTGAAAGATTTAGAAACCACATCAATACAAAGCCGTTCATAGTGGCCCTGAACTTCAGCCTTCCCCTGTAAAGCTGGCATGTAGACCATGGTGTTCTGCTTACCTTTAATTAATGCAGTTAATTCCTTTGTGGCCAGAGCTCTCTGTAGAAAAGTTCTGGTGGAGAAACTAGGTGTTGCAGAGTGAATCCTGAACAAACTCATTTTCAGCTAGACAAAGTTATTCATTATTGCTGTGTTTCTTGGAGCATTAAACTTGAATGACAAAACCTACCTGCTTTGAAAAGGCAGTTAAACGAATTGTTTTTTTTCTTTAATTGCCATTTCAAGAATCAAAGTCATGTCAGGAAGATACCACCCACACAGCACAAATTCTTCTTGCTCATTACTTTGTCCTGATAAACATCAGCTTGCCATAGTTGCTTAATTTGCTGCTGTGATTCAGATGCTGAGTGAAAAAGAAATAGCAAATGGAAATGGTTTTCCCACCCAACAAAGCTTTCTGAGATCTAGCCTTTGGGGATTTTGTTCTGTACTAGGCCAAAAGTTAGGCTTTGTGTTGTCCTTTAGAAAGAGAAAAGCTCCACACATGGCAGTTGTTACACTCGTGTTAGGGACATGTGCCTGGGGTGCAGAAAACTTTGTGTTGCCTGATTTAAACCAGGAGTTTGAACTCAGCTGTCTCAGAAGTATCAATTCCCCCCTTTTCCTTTGGTTGTTATCCTTTCCCATGAAAGCTGCTTTACTGTTGTTTTTCATAATCAGGCATTCACTGGGCATGAAATAACTTTAAATGTTAGGAGCTAAAGGATTCACCTTAGACACAGCAGTCTTATTCGTCTATGGGTGAAGGATTTAAACTGTCCATCAGGCCTGCGTGAATACTAAGAGATGCTGTTTTGGTGTTGGCCTTCCTTTGGATTAGAAATTTTCACCTTGTCCTGAAAAACTTTTCTTGATAAAACTTCTGCAGATGCAAGTGTCTTGCTGAGGGAAGTCTGACTATTGATGCATAACTATTTTCCAGTGAAGGCAGGCTATAAGAAATTCCTGTCTGGGCCTGTGAATACATGGCACTCTCGTAAATTCCTGTGTTTTGTCCCACTACAGCAGTTTTCCCTGAAAGCAGATTATATTTACATCAGCTCAGAATCAACCAGATGCATGTCCTTTCTAGAAAATAATACTAAGAACACTGTTTTATAATAAATACCCAAAGTGAAAACAGGGCTTTGTTAGAAAATAAGAAGAGAAACAAAGTCATTTTGCTGACAGCTTTCTGTGTGAGGCCTCAACTGTACCGCTGATTTCAGAGGAGAACTGCACCTGGGCTGACCTCAGTGGGATCGTTCGTGTACAGATGGCCACCCACATAAAGTCAGTTGAAGGCTTAGAGTCCCTAGCACTCTAAACACCTCTGAACACTTTCTGAATGATTGACACTGAGCCTTCAGCTGCGGAGAATATTTTGAGCTGTACTGGGAGAAATGAAAGGAAACTGTACTGAATCTAGGAGAAAAGAAGACATGTAAGAAAATTCTCATGATTTATAATTTGGGTTATGGTTGTGCTGCAGTCCTTCTTGAGGTTCTGTTCTGCAGTGGGTTGTGTACCCACACATTGACACAGCTATTTGAGTTGGGTAAGACAACCAGGGACAAAGAAAGAATTAAAATTTGACGTGCATTGTCAATGCTATCACAACACTTTTGGCAAAATAATTATCAATCATGCACCACTCCTGAGGATGGCAAATGTCTTAAATGTGTTTGTAAAGCCCCTTAGAACCAGCCACTTGTTGCTCTTACTTGGCGGTAAGATGAAGCAGCAGCTTCCAAAGTTATGAAGAACAGGGGATTTTTTTTGTTGTCACAGGATGTCACTGCTGTTTACTGCAGAATCTGTACTTAAAAGGTCAATGTAGTGCTTTTTTTTTTTTTTACCTCAGTGCTAGATTGGATTAA